CGGTGTTTGCCATCGGGGTTGGGTTTTCGTCGCTTGGCAACGACGTTGTAAAACGAGCCCATTCACTTCGTGAAATCGGCAACCAGGTTACCGTTTTTTTTTTTTTCCCTCCGTTTTTTTTTGGCGGTAACCATAATGGTGGTCGAGTAGATCATGTTGTGCGGGGTGAAGACGCCTCACTCCGCGCAAGGGTGATGATCGCACCCCGTTGTGTTAAAATGGTCAAGCACCCTCGAGGCAGTTACACAGTGCTTACAATTGTCTCTGGAAGTGAACACCAGAAAATAAATTAATTCATACGCAGCTGTCATCCGTACGCACGGAAGTTTAAGCACAAGATGCCGAACACCCCTACCAGGATGCAGCGCACCCTTCATGCGACTCGCCGAATATCTCACGGCGCTTCGCGCTTGGTGATGTGAGAGCCTGGTCCGGTAAGAACCCGGCGTGCTCCGTCCCGGCTTTGGAGGGATGCGAGGTCAATGGTCTACGGCATCCACGACTATGAGTTCACCCCCCCCTCCCCTCCAACAAAAAAATCTCGACAGGGAGAATAAAAAACAACACATCCTCACGCTACCGCCCTCCCCGCCCTCGCTTCTGTCGCCCCCTTGCCCCCAAAAACACGCACACAAAAAGACAAAACACAGAAGACTGAAAGGCTAGCGTGTACCATTATACAGCTCACCTCCCTGGGACGCGGCGAGCGCCTCCGCCTCCGCCGCGCGCCTGGCCTCCTCCTCGCCCTTGCCCCTGGCCCTAGCCAGGCACTCCCTCAGCTCGCCGGCGATCTCCCTCTCCTCGCTCAAGAGCTCGTCCCTAGCGGCCACCGCCTTCTGGCTCTCGTGAAGCTCCGCCGCTAGGGTTTGCGCTTCGGTGACGGAGGCGTTGAGCTTGTCTCGCGAGCTCTCCGCCGCCGCGCTTGCCTCCGCGCCCTGAGGGTTTGAGGGGGGGGAAGGGGGGGGTACTCAAACTGTAGCCGTGCATGCCGTAGTCGTCGGAACATTGACCTCGCATCCCTACGAAGCCGTGACGCAGCGCGCCGGGGAGAACTGAGGTTCCGCATGCCTTAGCGGTTAGACCATTGACCAAGAGTCCTCGAGAGGGTGGAGCATTGTTCCCACATGGGAGCGGGTACTCTGTACGACGCGCGTCAGGAGTTGTAGTAGCTCTGCAGCATACAGTTGTAGTAGATGCTCGTAACCACAACTACACCCCGAGACGCAGCCGGCCAATCCCGAGACGTGGCCGATTCTAATAATAGCACGTCCCGGCGGCCTTCAACTGACCTAGCTACGAACATTTTTGTTTGGCTTTGCTGATCTTTCGTGTCTTACAGGGACTTGTAGGTTCAAAAACAGCTTGGGTCATCGACAACCGCGTGGTATGAGACTACCCCAAAAACAGACTAGAAATAAACACGTGGGATGTGTGAAACCAGAGCAGAACACATGGGCGGTTGGCCCCCCAGAGGTGGTGGAGCGTCGAGCCAACTCTTGACATCTCGGGTGGGGTAGGTATAGGTAGCCCACCTTAGCCCTGAGCTCCTCGACGAGCGGTTCTGCGGCGTCTACGCGTCTTCTCAGCTCCGTTGCCGCGGCCTGCTCTTGGGCAAGCTGTTGTGCGTTCGCCCTGTTCTCTTTTTCCAGGCCTTCGATCTGCGGCAGGTGAGCAGTGTTTGTGGGAGGGGGGGGTACTCATAGTCGTGCATGCCGTAGTCAGTAGACCATTGACCTCGCATCCCTCCAAAGCCGGGACGGAGCACGCCGGGTCCTCACCGGACAAGGCTCTCACATCCCCAAGCGCGAACCGCCGTGAGATATTCGGCGAGTCGCATGAAGGGTGCGCTGCATCCTGGTAAGGGTGTTCGGCATCTTGTGCTTACTTCTTTGCATACGGATGACAGCTGCGTATGACTAAATTTATTTTCTGGTGCTTTCACTTCCAGAGACAGTTGTAAGCACTGTGTAACTGCCTCGAGGATGCGTGACCATTTTGACACAACGTGGTGCGATCATCCCCCTTGCGCGGAGTGAGGATTGTCCACCCCGCACAACATGATTTACTCGACCACCACTATGTTGTTGTCTTCACATTAAACGGTATGTCAGTTGCTAAATGCCAAAATCTAGCAAAGACTCTCAGCCCGTGGTCACGAAAGTGCTAGAGCCATCTGAGGATCTAAAGAACACGCACACGTAGCAAGAAAAAGGTGTACAAGAGCCCGAAGAGGTACTACTACACCTATATATAATCCCTGCAGCACCGTACGCGTGCCCAAAACTGAACTACACGTCCGTCTCACCGTTCGACTACAGCAACATCACCCCCTACTTGTCCCACTCTGTACCAAAACGAATGATTGCCGACTACAGCATACTTGCTGTCTGAAGTGCTGTCTGTACAAAAACACCATGGTAGGCATGGAACAAGCAGCTGGCGGGGCACAAAGCTGCTGTCTGAAGTGCTGTCAGAATGTGTCTGCGGCCGTACAGTGAAAAAGAACAACCAACCAAAGCCATCATAGCAGCAATTGACAATCACCCGAATCTCTCCCGATCGTGGTGTTGGGCACTGCAGTGAAAAATATCGACACTAGCTAAGAATCGCTCCACATTGAAGGGGTCTTCCACGATCAGGCACAAAACCGATGCACCCGGGTTAGCCACGCCATCTCTGACGGGTCTCTCTACAAAACCGGTGACGATGTCATCACACAAAACCAACACGGAAAGTCACAAAAAAAACGAAAAAAAGTGACAACACAGATAGAAATGTTTGTCCGTGCGCCACGGGTCGATGTCGCCCGCATGCTCCGGTGCCACTGCTCCATCCGGCGCCGCTGTAGTCAGCCCGAGCAAAACGTCACTCGACCTGCTCCGTCCGTACACGCTCTCGTTGCTGTCCTTCCCAGTCCGTTCCTCGCTTTCTCCCTCATTGCACTCAAGGTTCTTGGTCTGAAAAAAATAAAAATTCTCGCGCCGAATGGTCAACCAGCCTAGTTCAGCTCGTCGCCACCTGCTCCCTCCTCCTTTGATGGCGAAGCCAGGTTACTGAGGCAATACAGCTCCCTCTAACAAACCTAGGGCCGTGTAGTGCCCGTCCACCTTTCTAATGGTGTCTGCCTCCGCGCACAAAAATGAGATGGGCATCACTGCCTACGCCGACGGCCAGAAAGGCCCGCGCATCTACATTTTCCCGCCTGACCCCATCAGTGCCGACCCAACTCCACCACCACACGCACGCCTCGCGGCGGATGCGCAGCAGCAAGAAGGTTTCGGTCATCCCTTGAGGGTGAGTCTAGCCCTGCTCGCCAGAAAGACCCCCCCCTTCACTACAACCCATGTCTAAGCAAAAGCTTGTCGAGGAGCGAGGGGAAGAAGGGATGGTTACCGCCAAAAAACAAGAGGTAAAAAAAAAAAAAACGGTAACCTGGTTGCCGAGCTCACTAAGTGAATGGCTTGTTTCACAACGTCGTTGCCAAGCGACGAAAACCCAACCCCGATGGCAAACACCGGGNCAAAGTCGTGAGCCGAATCCCCATGCGGTGAAAATCGCTGTTTTTGCAGGCGAAAGCAAAAATGAGCCGAAATCTCTCGTGAAGAGACCAAACTTCGACGTTAGGACCGTCGACGAGGGAAAGGGACGGCTGGACCCTTCTCGCGATAAAAAAAAACGAAATTCGGCACGCACCGCAGGAGGAAGGTGGGGGCACGAGAATAGAATAAAAAGGAGAAAAAAAAGGCCCGGTGTAAACCCCTTCCTGTGTGACCTTGGATGGTTGTAGTTGTACGAAAAAATACACTGAAAANTGCAACCCGTTTAGAACTGAGGAGCAGGAATAAGGCAGGCTAAAGGTCGGCCGCCCCGGTGGTCTAGTGGTGACCTCGAAACCGTAAGTGGCAAAGTCGTGAGCCGAATCCCCATGCGGTGAAAATCGCTGTTTTTGCAGGCGAAAGCAAAAATGAGCCGAAATCTCTCGTGAAGAGACCAAACTTCGACGTTAGGACCGTCGACGAGGGAAAGGGACGGCTGGACCCTTCTCGCGATAAAAAAAAACGAAATTCGGCACGCACCGCAGGAGGAAGGTGGGGGCACGAGAATAGAATAAAAAGGAGAAAAAAAAGGCCCGGTGTAAACCCCTTCCTGTGTGACCTTGGATGGTTGTAGTTGTACGAAAAAATACACTGAAAAGTGTAGGTACCGCCTTGGATGATCAAGAAATCCCATTTGCCTTGGTGCTTGTTTGTCTTCCCTTCCCTTCCCTTCCCTTCCCTCGCGAGTGAGAAAGCCTCAACACCTAGGTACAGCACCGAAGCATCTTCCCTCACGCCGAACCAAATGACTATGGCAACAACAGCAACAACAAAAGCAACAACAACAAATCCTCATACATAGCAAACCCCACACACCCACACACCTTGACCACCAGGCGCTCCGCCTCCGCCACCGCCGCGCGCGCCGCCCCCTCGTGGGCTTCCCTGGCCTCATCTGCGTTTCTCAGCCCGTCAGCCTGATCCTCCAGCCTTGCCAGCAGAGTCCGCTCGGCCTGCTCCCGCTCCCACGCGGCCGCCTAGTTTGAACAACAACGCGACACAGGTTTCCGAGGACGACGGAGGGTTGCGGGTGCGAGGCACGGGAAGAAGAACGTGAGACAACGGTAACGTGCAGGAGAGAGGGGTCATGAGGTAAAACGGTAGAGAGCGGTAGTCGTCAAGAGCCAGAACGAGAAAAAGAAATGAAGGGATCAAGATTCTCCAAATGGTGCTACGCGAGTCAGGTCCAAGCTCGATATATTGACGCCGTTGACTACAAAAAAAAGACTAGTCAGGCGCCAAGCCGGCAACAGACGACGCACCGAAGCACAAGAAAAAACACCAACCACCGCCATGCCCGGCAGAACACAAACGGGCCAAACACATTAACGCGCCACCAATTGCGAGACTTGACAAGTGGGTTGATCGGTCAGCCTTGGTTTGCGTTTCGCTGCGAAAAACACTGCTTTTTCCGGAATGGTGCTGTCTGCACCCACATGCATGCGCTCCAGCTCCCTCAGCACGTCCATCGCCGCCGCCGACACCGACACAAGATCCCCTCCCCGCTCCCTCGCCCCCCCCCCGCCCGCCTCCTCTTCCTCCCACACCCCCCTCTGCGGCACAGAGGACCTCACCATGCCGTCGCCACGCTGCAGCAGCTGTGGAACAGAGGCCGACAACGGGTGCGAATACGACTGCACCTGAGGACGATTGCGCCCCTGCTCCCCGAGCCGCCACTCGCCGCCGCCGCCGCCGCCGCTGAAGATGTCGGAGCCCTCCGGGAACAACGTTCGGGGAGGCGGAGCGCCGTCCTGGGCACTCCCGGCGACGCCCGCGGAGCCGTCGACAACGCCTCCTCCGCTCGGGTTTCCACCATCGTCCGGCTGGGAAGCGGACACCGAACCAGGGGACCCGACTCCCTCCCCCCCGAGAGCCGCCGCTTCTGGCAGCAAGTCTCCTGGTCGTCCACCTGTCCTCCGCCCCACGAGCGGGGTAGCGGCGGCGTCGGCGGGGGGGGTTGCGGTGACTGGGAACACGGCTCCTCTTGAGCGCCGCACCCTCTCCGCCGCGGCGCACAGGAGGTCCTCCGCGTGGAAGGCGTCGGCGAGGAGGGCGTCGTGGGACAGGTGCAGGCGGGCGTTCGCGGCGGCGAGGGAGGAGACTCTCGCTTCCAGCTCGGCGACATGGGTCTCGCTCGCCTGAGGGAATACAATTTAGTGACGGTCCCAGGGCAAGGCGGTCTGAATAAGGCGGTTGCATTGTACGAGGTGGGCGAATTTGGCTGGTAAAGACGGAACAATCAAGCGGCTGCCCCCAATCAGGCAGTCATTATCAGCTGCTCCGCCACCACACGATTTTGTTTTTGTTAGGTGAGACGCATGTTGGTGGAACACACTATCGTGGACTCGAAGCGACAACACATCGGAACTGCCCGCAAGGACCGAATAAAACAGAGCGTTCTCTTCGGCAAAAAGAGCCAGAAGACTACCACTGCTGCAGTACTACTCAACAAAAACACTATTGGTGTTGTGGTTGTCTCCGTTGTGAGTATCGACTGCGCTACCCTGCTGACCAATGTGACTTGTGTCTTGTGTGTGTTTCTCCAGCCTTCGCATCAAACACACCAGCACGGATCCAGAATTCGGCGAGGCATGATCGTGGGACTGTTTACAGGAGATTCAGTGCACCCTTTGTACCACGTATTCCTCGGAGCCCTCTGAAGCAGATATAAACGTTCCATGTAGTTTGCATAGCAAGGGTTATATCCATATCCACGGGTGTAAACGCCACCTTGCCTATCATAGCAACTCTCTCAGCAGCGTGCGTGCGCCAAAGAAACCCGGCTCCATGAGCTCCAAGCGGCAATCAATTCCTTGGTGCATCCAATCTCTAACTTTAGCCCACGAGGCACATAAAAGGCGGTTCAAGACAAACACAGATTCATGCGATTTCTGTTACTGCTTGTCCCAACCCTCTAAAAAAAGCGTAGCCGCCACTGCTGCTGCACCGCCCTTGTTTCTGACCTGCAACTGAGCCTGCAACGACCGCTCGTTGTCTTCGGCCTCCCCGGAAGCGAGCCTCACCGCATCTTCCGCCTCGGCGGTCTTGGCTCGCGCAGCCGATAGTTCTTCCCGAGCTAGCTCTTCCCGTTCCCTAGCACCCGCGGCCTCTCGCTCGAGAGAAGAAGCCTGAAAAATCGGCACCAACAGGAAAATCGCCGGCACAAAAGTTTAAGATGTCGCGCACTAAATGGTTTGAAATCGGGTCAACAAACCTAGCAATAATGCTGTCCTGCGGCGTTTGGTGTAATCGATCAAGGGGTGATAGCCGTCGTCGTTCAGGGAAAATCTTGTGAGTGTTCGAGTTTGAGTGTGTACATGACAAACAACACCCCCGTGCCCATGAGGGCACCTTTTCGGCGAGGTAGCCTCCTGATGATGAGACAAAGTATGCTAAGGATAGGCGTCGTCATCCTCCATTGACCAATCAAACTCAGGCCGGACGAGAGTGATATCGGGTGCGGCACCCGATTTCGAATGATCCGAGTGTCACGCCCGCGGACGAGTCTCAGACTCGTCGTTATGCGGCATTCGGTTGTTACTCCGGCACAGCCAACACATACAAACTGAAAATCGTGACACAAGCAGTCTCCTGATGCGCTGCTGGGACAAGGGATCGTATTGCGGCATCCGAGTTTCACCTTTCACCGTTGGCCGTATTCGGAAGACCCCAAACATTGTGCTGCACACGTTGTTGTTATGAGTCTCATCCTTCGAGATAAGTGCAACACCGGAAGAGCTTTCCGCATTGTAACGACAGAAGAATAAAAAAAAATGTCACCCCGGGTAGAAAGAATCAAAACCGACATAGCCGGCAAACGCCAATAATTTTTTCTGATTCTTGTTTTTAGACCCATGAACACCCAGCCCAGCAACAACAACAATACCCAGCGCGTCGAGAAGGACCCGCAAAACACCACCCAGCCACGGGCGGCCCCAAGCTTGCTCTCCCATCACCTCAGCCTGCAGCTCCCGGACACTAGCCTCCGCGTCCTCGGCGCGCCTCCTCGCCTCCACCAGCTCCTCCCTCGCCTCCACCAGGTCCTCCCTCGCCGCCTCCGCCTCCCCCCGCGCGGCTGCTCCCCCCGCCTCCGCCGTCTCCAGGAGAACCCGCAGCCCTTCCTCCCGCTCGCACGCCTCCCGCAGCCGAACTCCCAGCCCCGCGGCCTCCTCCCGAAGGCCGGCGATAACGGCCCCGGACTCAACAGCCCGCTCTTCTGCCGCGGCGGCGGCAGCCTCGGCGGTCTCGCGAAGCCGGCGCTCCCGGCCCAGGCGGTCCCCGGCCTCGCGTTCCGCTAGGGCGGCGGCGGCCGCGGCGGCGGCGGAGCGGTCGGCATGGGCGCGGGACTCTTCGAGGAGGCCCTCCAGGTGGAGGCGTTGCGAGGTCTCGCCGGCGGCGCGGAGTTCGAGACCGGATTCCTTCGTTATTTGTTTTTTCGACGGTCGGTATGGATGGGTTTGTACAGGGGGGGAGAGGACGAGAGGGGGGTGGGTTCGAGGTTGGATAACTATTTTTTTTTAAGGTGGGGATGTGCGGGGTTTGTTTTCTAGTGAGGGGGGGGGGGGGGGG